AATCAATTAAAAAAAACCCAAGGCAAATTTATTGAAGAGAAAAGGGTACAGATAGGTTGTATGAGTGGGCCCAAATAGGCACCCAACCCATACAGTACAACACACAAAAAGAAATAAAAAGAAACTTAAAACCCAAAATTAGATGCTACATATAAGATCAACAAGGTCGACCCGCTTTAATTCTGTCTCTGCCTCTAGTTCTCAGAAAGAAACCAGCTAATAGATTGGTGAGGCGTGTACCATTGCCCGAAGTAACCAGAGTATCATCCATTATCTCCATTCTTCTTCTTCCTCCTGGAAGTGTAGACCTGTCATTCTTCATCTGAAGATTGTTGCTCATCGGATGAGGTAGTAGTGCTGCAGTAGAAAGATTGCCAACAATTGTGCCCACAAGTGTATGTGAGGTAAGAGTTGTCGCCTCTACCCCTGATACCTCCTGAAGATGAGGAGCTGCAAGGTTCTCCTAATTATCAGTCTGTGTAGGTAGGGGTCCTTCATTATTATTTTCAATAGGGTTTGAAAGTGTAGGTTGCTCAGCAGAGCCATCCAGCTTCTCATCGATCGCAGAAACAGTATTTTCAGGGGGAGGGTCCATAGGGGCAATAGAATCAGACACCAAATTTTGTCCTGTTTTGTGGGTTATAACAACCACGAGAACAATCTGCTAAAGTGGCCCGCTGACCCCACTCGTCGATGTGTTAGTTGTCCTATACCAGCTGTAGAGCTGACCTGGCGGACTAACCGGCCAAATTTACCTAGTGTCACGACCCGATCTTAGGCTTAGAAATAACCAAGACAGTAATAGACAGTCGAACGGTGATAATCTTATTTTTCTATTGTTCATTTCTTATCATTAATAATTTATACTTCAAATAAAAGGAAAGGGGCTACTAAGGAAAGTAACTTAAAGTAATACAATTAAATTTTTATCTTAGCTCAAGTTATTCACGTCTTCAATATATATTTTCTCTTATATTGTTTATCTTTTAATTAAATGATTAAACTTGTAATATTAGTCTAAAACAACAGTCAGTTAAAAGTCAGTGAATATGTATATTCTTAAATTATAGTAACGTAATAAAGATAAAACAAGA